CCAGGCCCAGACGCCTCCTGGCCCCAGGACTTCCTTCGCCGCCTCTTGGTCTGGCCCGCTTTTCATCTCCCCCTTTTTTCATGGCACGTATCACACTCCCATCTCTCTCACCCTTTCTGGCAAAGGCCACCAGCACTCCAGAGCCCCTGGCCATCCCCGTGCCAAGGACTCACCATGGGTCCTGCCCAGGGCCGGTGCCGTGCTCAGCCTCTGCCACGCTCAGCCCTAGCTGCTCAGACGGGGACCATCTGCACAGTCAAAACAGCTTCCCCTGCTTTCCTCCTCCCATCGGAGCTTACAGGACACAACATCCATTTCCTAGCAAAAAGCAAATTGCCAAGAACCAGGACATGGCATTAAGCAGTGGAGACCTCATGCCTGCGCAGGCACAGCTGAAGATGCCCCAACTCCTCCGTTGGTGCAACACAAGTGACCAAAGGCCATCACGATGCCAGCAGGTCTGGGCTGCCCTGCTCCTCTGGCCCCCATGAGCTGGGAAGGAACAAAGGAACATATTCCCGCTCGTGAGACCACACAGAAGGAGATTCTTCCCACCAAAAACTTCACAGAACCTTTCTGTGAAAGTAAAGCCAAACCACTTAATGCTTCATTTAAGCAGATAGGCTTGGGCACAGGGACATACCAGAGATTTACAGAGGACAGCTTACCAAGGGGGAGGAAAACTTCCCCACCCCACTTACATTCCCCCCCCCCCCTTAATTAAAAAGACCATTTGTTTCAAGTAAATTGCCTTAGGACTTACAGTTTATAATTACAAATAAAATACTTTTTGGTCAGTTTTCTCTGTTCAATAGAACTTTTTGTTGCTTAGACAGCTAAATGTCATGGGATTTTTAACAAAGGCTAAAATTCTGTGCCATTTAACAATTAATGGTACCCAAAGAAAAACGATACAAAACCACATCCACTGAAGTGTTCTGCAAGGGCTACAGGCTTCAGCTGCATCCACTGCACCAGAAAGCCGGTTCGACACACTAGTCCAGGGCTTCAAAGCTGCTTCAACCCATTGCTTTCAAGGATAAAAAAAAACCCCAAGAGCAACAAATTGTTTCCTAGGATTTTCAATAAAAACAGAAAGATGTATAAACAGGTGCCTATCCTTTCCGGCTGGGGGCGGGGAAATCTGAGAATGACATATGAGAAAGATAATCAATTAGTGCCTCTTGCATTAAGAGTGATTTATTCTCCTGAAGTTTTCTAACCCAGGTTCAAGATTCTGCAAGTCATATTCACCACAGACCATAAAAAACTTCAATTATTTCATTAGAATACTTATCATGGTTTCACTGCAATGCCAGGACAAAGACATTTTCCCACATGCAGCATTCAAACATTAAGCAACGGCATCATGTTTTTCCCCCCAGTGACATCAGTAGTCTGAAGTAGCTTCACATGAGAAATTCAGTCCTCTTGCTTTGTGAAGCCTTTCTAGTCTTCCAAGATGGAACAGCTACCTCATTTGAAATGTAATCAAAATTAAGCTGATTGGGTTGTGATATATCATT